CACGACAAATTCGAATCACTTGGAAATCTTAACTCTTGAAAGTCTTTGAGAAGTTGCGATAGGATTTGATAACGTGATTTCGCATTTTAAAAGCTATAGAGTACATAAAATATCATAAAAAAGAAACTTGGGAAAGTTCGGATTATTAAATACTTGTCACGTTATGAAACCCTCGCGAAGGGTTTCAGGGCTTTCGAAATATAATATTAACCTTCGCAAACACTCGCGGAGTCTCAAGATTTCAATGTATCTCGAGACTTCCAAGTTTCGAATTTATCATCATACGCAATAATTGATTTCCTCGAAGAAAGATGATCGTACAACGAGAATTCACCTTTATTTTTACAATGCACTGTTCATTTGTTGCTCGAGTGTTTTTACATCGCGTAACATTTCGGAATAGAATAAAGATACTTTTTTCTCTCTCTCGAAAATGCTAAAGCTTATCGTAGCATGCGAAAACATTGAACAATTTTTTTCACGACTGACTCTGCCATGGATTTGAAGATTAAAGTCTTCTTCGAAAAATGTAATATGTGACTTCTGCTGACTGTTTTTCTGTTAAACAGAAATGAAGTACGAGTTCAGTCCGTGCGATTATATATCATTAAATTACACGGTTCGATGAAAGCAGTCAAAAAAGATCGTACGATCAAATTTTAAAGATTCCCAGTGTCTGAGATCCCATGTACCCCACTGCGTGTACACAAAGGCCAAGGAAGAAGAAGGAAAAAATCGCGTGCTCACATCGAGACGACTTAATTGCACGATCTTCAACGATCTTCAAAGAGTACCGATTCATTCTCGATTCGTCCTTTAGCGTCGTGCCGAGCCGAGTGTTGGTCGTGTTTCCTCGACAGGGAAGAAGGGCACAAGGAACCTTTCACTGGGTCCCATTAGCAAGAAACACGACAACGACGTCGCGAAAGCCTGTCGTGAGCATTGAATTTCCCTCGGCAGAGACGCTCTTTGTTTTCAATCGCTTCGGGATCGCATCGCGCAACACGTACAATTAAATTCCTTTCCTCGAACTGAGAACGGAACGGTTCGACAACTGGGAAATCCCGAGAAGAACTGGAAACTTACAAAAGGGGTGAGAACGTTCCTACGAGAAAATTCTGACTTCGACTTCCAGATGCTCTCAGAGCACGATAAATAAAGAAATTCTGCTTTCGGCGAGATGAAGAAATCGATGGAGAAATGAAGGAACTCTTAACGCAAGAGCGGCGTTCAAAAAATTGCAAAATAAAGGAAGAAATGGGAATAAAAATCGAGGGGGCGGGGGAAGGAGAGACTGTCGACAACGGGGAAAGATGGAAATTTGAAAAGGAAAAGGATAAATAAATAAATAAATGACAGTGGGAAGGAAATGTTCGCGAGAGATGAGCGAATTTCTGGATGTGGCAAAGTATGTATTTTGGACGCAGCTTCCGCCGCGTTTAAGCGGCCATTCCGTTGGCAAAAGGATGGTCCGGCGACGATGCGTCATACTAATGTACCGTGGCAATATATGGCGCTTTGAGACAACTTGAGTTCTCTCATCGTTCGACGATCCACCAAATCATTATACGGAAAATACACGTATAATACGTAGATATGGCCATCGTCAAATGGGCCTGGGTCAAATGAAAGGAAATGAATACGCACGTTCTCCGATAAGTTTTAATCCGCTGCCGTGTGTCGCATCGTTGCTGATCGCAACTGACCAGTAGAATGCGAATTTTCTCGTCGTGTATATGTTTGTGCATCACTTTGAAGATGCAAAGATGCATATAACGTGCAAAAATGCAGGAACGAGCAACTCGAGAATACTGTAACTAACACTAGGTTAAAAGAACGAACGATTCACGATTTTGCAAATAAAATTTATAAATTTAGACACACGTGTGTCTGTTGTTGTGTTTTGTAATAAATGAATGTTATAACGAACGAGGTTCTGGAACGAATTATTTCGTTATAAAATACTTTACTGTAATATTCAAATATATATACATGTATATATATATATATATATATATATATATA